TTGCACAGAGGGCCTCCTACTTGTCCATGGGGCCTCCTATTTGTCCAGGGGCCTCCTTTTGTGAAAGGGGCCTCCTGTTTGTCTAGGTCTAGGACCTCCTATTTGTCCAGGGGGCCTCCTATTTTTGCAGGGGGCCTCCTAATTGTACAGAGGGCCTCCTACTTGTCCATGGGGCTTACTATTTGTCTAGGGGCCTCTTATTTGTCTAGGGCCTCCTATTTGTCCAGGAGGCCTCCTACTTGTCCAGAGAGCCTCCTATTTCTCCAGGGGACTTCCTGTTTTCCGGGGGCCTCCTACTTGTTCAGGGGGCCTCCTACTTGTTCAGGGGGCCTCCTACTTGTTCAGGGGGCCTCCTATTTGTCCAACAGGGCCTCCGATTTGTCCAAGGGGCCTCCTATTTAAACAGAGAACCTTTTATATGAATATCGGACCTCCGTTTGCAAAGAAGCTGATGCGTCTCGGGGGCCTCCACTATTGGGGTCCCAAAATGACAATTGGGGTCCCAAATGTTCGCATTGGGGTCCCACATGGGACCTCGAAAGTATACAAAGTTACACCCATGCTGGGGCCTCCGCACGGAGCGCGCCTGCTGGCGTTTTGGGGGAGGGTACCACGGCAACGTCGCCACTCCTCGCGCCTGCCGGATGGGCGGGAGAGACCCGTCTGCCGACTGAGAGGCCCATGTTTACATTTTGGAGCGACTGGCTATAGCCTGTCGCGCGGCGCCCCAGCAGTGCTGGGTCCCGCGAGAACGTAAGACCACTGCAAGATGTTTTGAACGTTGCTGCAGACAAGGCCTGCTCTTCGGATTAGGCTAGCAGTTACTGTCGTCAATTCATCCAAATATTTTGCCAAGAAGCTGTCTGGTGCAAAGTGCAGTCGTGAACGCAGACGGCATTTCATTACATTTTACGACGCTGTAATGCGACATTAATCCAGGGTAACTACTGAATTTGACCTGCAGGTCCCTTTCATCACTTTATAAGTCAGGAAGTGGTTCATGCTAGCATCCGTCTTATTCACTATGGCATACTCAACCAAGCCTATGTAAAGGTCAACAACTGGATTGCGTCCTTGTCATGTAGCAGATCCTATCAGACAGCATCTGAGAGCTTTTCGCCGAATTTATTACATTGAGCCCCGTGAAGTCTCGAAACGTCTGTGTACTGCGTGCTTTGAGGCAGCGCTGGGTGGCGCGGGACCGCACTAGCTTGCGTCCCCAGTTCAGCCTTCTGTTTCCGAATAGTCGCGCCCTGTATTCCCTTCAGCGAACCACCCACGATGACGAGCCCATGTATGTCCTTGGCAAAGGGGCTTCTAAGGACAGCACGTCGAGATCTGAAATCGCTCTCAGAATTCAGCCAGACTAGCGTGGTCGTATGTGACATTGAGGTTCCGGATACTAATGACGGAGAAGGCAACTGAAGTGTAAGTAAATGGTGGTCCGAATGGAGGTTACTTCTACCTGCAATACCAACGTGTGGCACTGGACCAGCGGATTCACAAGCGGGGAGGGACGTAACCCAGGCCCAAAGACCTATGGGTAAATATTGCAGCCATTTGGGAAGATGGAAAGCATGCCCAATGTTGACGCTAGACCTCTCCGGTAGCAAATGCCATGTGGGATCCGTCCGCGGGTGCAACAGTCTCACTTTGAAGGGTTTGCCAAGCTACGGGCACACCCGAGCGCCCTGGGAGACAGGTCGCCGAGACCCCGTCGGAGCAGTGACTGTTGCTCGAGCCTCGAGGCTGTCGAACCTCCTCAGCGGTGACTGCGGGCGATCAACCCGGGCCCACCAGACCGGTCCGCGATTCGCTCCACGGCGGTCTGCACGGCCGCTCTCACCGCCTGGGCGCCCGGCTCCCGCGACACTCACGCCATGTGCGGCCGTGAGAGCTGCGCGCAGCCCGGCTGTCACGCGCGCCCGGCACAGATGGCCCGTCACCGAACCGTGGAGGGAACTTCGTCGAAGGCGCGTGACGTCAGCCGGCCCGGAGAGCGGCGTCTCTGAGTCTGTGACGGTAGCGTCTGACGGTTTATCGCCGGCCCCGACACGGGCCATCGGCCGGCGGTCCAGGTCCGCCCCGCCGGCCGCCAGCGGCGTGACGGTGACTCAGCTCCTGCCAGGTCAGCTGCGGGCCGCTGACCTGGCAGGATCGGACAGTTGGGAAAGCGAGAGGCCTTCGGTGACAAAGCCCGCGGCCATCTAGTTCAATAAGAGCGGCACGGCCAGCCGCGGTGGCGACGACAGGTCCGGGAGAGCCGCCGGCGGGGGCGGGGCGGGAGAGCCGCCGGCGGGGGCGGGGCGGGCAGGCCGCGACACCGCCCCCGGGCCGTGGACATCGATCGGCCGGGTCACGAAGTATAGGGTCACGGCACGGTCGCGCCCGCCCACCCGCCCCCTGCCATCGTCGGCCGCACCGATCAAACGCTGCAGAGGCCGGTACCGGGACCGGAGCCAAGTGGCCACCAGTGTGCCGAGACGTGAGTCAGTCGCAAAACGGCCGGTCCGCTCGGTTGCAACATACAATAGTATTGGGTGGAGATACGAGTGACTGGCGCCTGCCGTTGCATGTCCATTAGTCAGACGGTTCCGAGAAAGTAAACACGCGGATGGTGGGTGGTGAATAATCGGACAGCAGCGCTGGAGTCGACTTCGCAGACTCTGATTACTTACTGTCGTTAGCTCCGCATCAAATCTCACCAGTCGGTGAGTGTCCTCCAACCAGGCTTAGTTTTCACCCTCCGTTTTACCATCGTGTCAATGTCCAATGAACACCGGCCCTTCGGCAGCCCCTGCTGCCGCGCAGTGTCCCTGACCTCGATCCAAACCTCGGACCGTCTCCAGAGCCGTCACGTCGCCTCGACCAGCGGTACCGAGGGTGCTCGTCAGAGCTGGCCGCTCACAGGGCGCCGCTTTCCTCCCGGCGGAGGTGCGATGCTACGCGCGATAGGCAGCGCCGACCGGCCGCTCGCTGCCGGGCGCCGACTCATGCTGGCCGTCCGGGCTGTCCAGCGCACACAGCCGCTATCAGGGTTCAGAAGTGGCCAATACCCTAATTTTCGACAAATTTTAAAGCGTGATTTTCTCACATTTTCTGGTCGTAAATTGATCAGACTGTATAAAATATCATCCAGAAAAAATATTACTCATTCTGGCACAGATTGGTGGGCTCCCAAAGAACACCGTTTTGTTTTGCTCCGTGAGACCGAACTTGTGCTGCGATTTTCATGTAAATGTTGACGAGTCTCCTGTCATATTCTTTGCTTGAAAATGCGTAAGTAAGATATCAGCTGAAAGGGGAAAATGTGCGGAATCCATTGGTAACAAAAGTGCATCTAAAAAACTTCCCAATCAGTTATTATAAGCTAATTGTTGCGCACTTGCACAAAGCAGAAGGGCTTGAGGATTTAAATATTTACATAGGCCTACCAAAAAACGCACAGCGTGCTTCACATCGAGACAACGTCCATAACATATACCGTACAACTGTGATTCATTTGCTGAAAAAATTAGGTCGGCATCACACTGCCGGCAAAAGTTATTGCAGTTCTAGTGACGCTAGGTCGCCGCCCGGCCGACCCCGGTCAGGTCGGCCGGGAAGCGGCCGTGCAGCTGACGTCCGTGCGGTTCGGCAGCTGACCAATCAGCTGCGAGAGAGGAGCGCGGTCCGTCTAATCGCCCCCGGCAGTTGCTTGTGCTGAGGGGTGCTCGACGCTCGTGTCGATTGCATTTGTTGGTTGTCGATTGTCGAATGACTTGTGGGTATACTTTCTGGTGACCAATAAATGTACGTCGTCTTAACAGAATGTAGTCTGATCAAATTCAATAAAGTAAAAAGACATCCAGCCAACAGAATATCGTAAGAATGTCCGATATGGTTGATAACATTCAGAGTTTTGGGGAGCAGCCATCGACCAGAATGAACGTCATTGGCTTTTGTATGTAACATTTGCATTGCTTTTGGAAAGTTTCAGTCAGATATCTTCAGAAATGGCAATGTTATTGGCTTTTGCATTTTACCGTAGTCAGTTAATCACAACTTTCGAGATTGCAAAGGCAATTTCAGTACGTTCTTGACATCGAAAACCAAAATGAATAGCATCATCGTGTTCCAGAGCTCAAATTGCATCCGATGCACATCTTTTTTGTTGATAATGCTCAACTTCAAAATTTGACCTTTTTGACCTCGCCGTGACCTGACCTTCATTTGTCGAATGGAAATAGTTTCGAATCGGACGACCCAGATGACATCATTTGTAGATGCTTTTGCCGAAATGGACCATTAAAGATGTGTCGCATGACCTTAAAAAATGTATACATTTCCTTCCATGACCCTTTCCATGACCTTTTGTGACCCATGACCTTTCCATGACCTTTTGTGACAAAGTTAGGTTTCGTTTATCAGCTATTCCTATCAGAAGCCGTTTGAACTTTTAGTATTGAACGAGTAGTTTCGAAGACAGCAGGGAAGCTATGCAGAATCCCCTCCCGAGTCACCCACGTTATGGGATATATGCCCGTCATCCGCGGATTACAAGCAAAAATATTTTTTACGGCAATGATGTATCAGCATGGATGCTCATACGTTCCCATATGTGACCTTACGGTTGACCTTACATACCATAAAAATTCCTTGGCAAAATGTCAACTGGTTAACGAGTTATCGCATTTTGGCCACTTCCGAACTCAAATAGCGGCTGTGTGCAGCGGCGCGACCGGACGGCCCCCGCACGGCCACGGCCTCGGACGAATGGCGGAAGAGCGGATGAGCGGCCCCATTTGGGGCCAGTTCCAGCCAACAATAACAAATCACAGAGTACAGTGCGTGTCGCCGCTACTGGCGCTGTCATTGGTCGGTTTCATTGGGTAATACCGTGCGAGTCTTTCTCTGAAGCAGCCATTACGGTCACCGTACCCCTGTGGGGCGCCCCTTCCGGACTAGCCGCTCGCCGTTGGGGGACAGCGGCGGCTCCGAAACTCTCTGGGTCTACTCACCTGTCTCTCCTCTGCACGTTCCGTTCCTCACACGGCCCGTGGACCGCCGCGGTCCGGCTCGATCACAGCGCAGTCGACCGCACCCCCTCCCTGTCAGCGTCACAGCTATCACTGGCAGGGAGTCGCCGCCGGCCGCGGCCCGCCGCCCGTGACGTCACGGCACCGCCTCTGACGTCACGACCCGGGCGGCGACGGCAGCGGCACCGCGGCGATGGCGGGCGCGGGTCGCGTAGTGCCGCAGGCCGACCCGCGGCACAAACGTCAACAAGGGTGGGTGGTGTGTTTCGCCGTGGGGTGAGCCCAGGGCCGGGCCGCAATGGTCGGACTGACCCAAACAGACCGAGGAACTTGCGGGAGCGGCCGGCGGAGGACAAACAGCGCAGGACCCCCGACAGGCGCAGTGAACAGCGGCGGCTCCAGGAGCCCTCGACAGGGGCGGATAGAGCCTTACAGCGACGACTGACTACCGACAAATACCCATAGCAGGTGGTGTCATAGCGTTTAAAGTTTAAACCCTGCCAGGCGTTAAAGGTGTTTAACTTATTGTGCCTCTGGAGTTCTTTGAATTGATGGGACAACGTGTCGGCCGAAGAACCCGTCGTCCGAAATGTCATCGCCTTGTTTGTTTATTGGAATTTTAAGGCGCGTCAACTGCGGTGATCATTTTGCGCCCCAACGTTGAAAATGTCATCCCCAAACCCCTCCCGCCCACCCACACATTGAGATGGGAATGTCTGTACCCGGTGACCTGCCCCGACCTAATCTGTTTTAGCGCGCTCCGGTGTCCGGGGCATGCGACTCGGTGGCCTGAGTGCGGTCGGCTGTCGTCGATTGGCCCACAGTTAGTGGACAGTGCGGCTGTCGCGGGATAGCTATAGCCTTCATCTGGGGACGATCGCCCGTGAACGGCCCACCCGGATAAGGATGGGCCTGAATAAGGCGATACCGTCCGCGTCCGCCACGACCCGAATAGTGGCACATATGGTGCGCTATTTGCATATCCACACCTACGTGTGCCGGGGACTTGTCGTTTGACAAATTTATGGCACTTGTTGAACATGACGTCACGAGATTTCGCGCTGCGAGCAGACAGGCCACGGAACCAGCGCCCGCTTCAAACGTGTCGCCAGGATTCGTGTAGCCGCCATCGGAGCTGATTTACCATCCAAACAAGGCTCGGAAGTCGCTCGACAAACACCATCGATCCATTGTGGCGTTGTATTACGAAATGTCCACCGGTGACCGGAGCGCGGAATGATGATGAATGTTTCAGTGCGTGTCAGCGAGAACGCGACCAGGGTGCACGGAGGGCATAGTCCGTGGCACCGGAGATCCAGCTGGAGAGCAACACAGGACGGCTTCTGACCGACCGAACTCGCAGCCAGACATCCCGGAACAGCATAGACCACGTCAGCACAACACAAACAGGCAGGCGTGCTTGGTCACGACAGCGGCGTCAGAAGCTTCCCGGTAACACCTTGTACAATTTGTTCATGAGGAATGAACCCCGACCTTTCTGAGGATCGGTGACGAGTGTGGGTCGTCATTTGAGCTCGGTCCGTGAGTCGGCACAGCTGGCGGGCTCAGTCGCGGTTGGCCTCGACGTCGGCCGCCGGCTGCTCTGACTCCTCGTTGTAGATGTTCTCTGCCATCTGCCAGACCTGCATGATGTTGTCCTCGGAGACGGAGCACACCACCCACGGCTCGTTGGGGTTCCACGAGAAGTCGGAGATCTTGGCCGTGTGGCCGCCGTGGATGAAGAGCAGCTCGGGCGGCCCGTCCTCAGCGTCCTCTGCCGACTGCTCCTCGCCGATCTTGCTCAGATCCCAGACGTGCAGGCGACGGTCGGTGCCGCTGCTCGCCAGGATTGTCTCGTTATGTGGCGACCACTGCACCTGGAAAATCTCGTCCTTGTGCGACTCGAACGAGTGAAGTTTGAGTTTGAGGTTGCGCAGGTCCCAGAGGGCGACCGTCTTGTCGGCCGAGCCGGTGGCCAGGATGTACTCCGAGTACGGGTTGAACGACAGACAGTTGACCTCGGCCGAGTGGGCGTCCACGATGTGTGACGGTTTGTTGGTGGTGTTGGAGCGCGTGTCCCAGATCATCAACTTCTGGTCGTCAGCCACCGAGCCGAAGAACGTCATGTGCAGCAGGTGCCAGGCCACGTCCTGAGGAAAGAACCGCGTGTCTGATGAAGCAAGAACACGTCTAACACCAAGTCCTGTCGAGGCATGATCATATGCGCATGTATCTTTGCTGAGATCGACTTCATAATTGACGAGAAAGCGGCAGACGGTTGAGTTCCTCTTATAAATAAACAGCGAGATTGATATCAGAAGCAATGAAGAATGATTTCGGCCAGGCTCTACGAGTTCCATTCTCAAGCCAGCGTACCTCGACGACGGCGGTATGGCCGGTGAAGATGCTCTTGGCATCCACCACCTTGTTCTCCTTGGGCGTGGCGTTGATGTCCCACAGGCAGATGGTGTGGTCGTCCGAGGCCGACAGCAGGTTACCGTTCACGGACGGGTTCCACGAGAGGCCGTACCCCTCCTTCTGGTGACCACGCAGCCTGGTGGCACGGAGCGGAGAGCGACAGTCAGCGCCCAGCGGTGCACACTGCACAGGACTGTTACTCGGGCTACTGTGTGTGAACGGTTAACAATACCAGACAATGTTGCATTTCTTATGCCTCATAACTGCTCAAAACTTTGTATTTTATCTTCCTTAGGACATGTCTATGATTGACGCTGACCTGAGGTTGGGGCTGCACACGCCGCCGGGGTCCGACTAGGGTGACTGACCAGAGGTCGAGCGAGAACCGCATTGTGTGACTGACCTGAGGCCGAGGACTGATTTGGGTGACTGACCCGAGGTCCAGGCCTGGTTTGGGTGACTGACCTGAGGTCGGGGCTGCACTCGCCGCCGGGGTCCGGCTTGCTCGGGTGTTTGGTGTAGTCGAACACGAGCACATCGGAGCTGGGCGTTTTGGTGGCGATGACACACGGGTTCTGCGGCATGTAGCGCGCCCGGTTCACCTCGCCCTCGTGGTTGATCTTGATCTCGATGTCGATCCGGCCATTCACGGAGCTGAAACCGCCGAACTCTGCACGGAGACGGGGACGGTGAGATCGGTGGTTGGTTGGCGTGGGGAAGGTGTAAGTGAGGCGGAAACGGTGCCGATAGGCTGGCGGATGATTCTAACTACTAAGCAGTTGTATTCATCGGACGTCTTCGGAAACATAAACATAGAAATTTCGGGAACATGGGCCAAAAATATAAATGTGAATGCAGTCTTATTGAGTTGGTATTATTGCCTCGATGGGGCACAGGAATTTCTAAACAGGGTGTGTTTTTCGTGAAGCTGCTCAAAAAGTATTTCCAGTTGAATTCGGGTTTAAGGCCCTCAAAAGGCAAACTGTAGAAGAGGTCATTGGTTTCCCAAGTTGTAACATTAAGCAGCGACTACTCGCATTGAAATATTCTTTCAAAAATTGACGACCGCGGCTTCATAACGACATTCAGAAACCATTACACATATGTTTAAGAACAATATCAGTTCAATGGTGGCATGACTATTTCATCGTGTGACATTCCGAGTTTCTCAAGCATGAACATGCTTTGCGAAATAACTGCGGTTACCTGGTGCTCGATGTTTAGTCAAGCTTGGCTTGGTGCATTACCAGAGGCACGTACTGAAGGACGAATGGCGTGACCGGTCGAATCTTGAGTTCGCTACTTAGGTACGTTCTACTTTTGCAATGCAACGCTAAGCTGTTGTTCGGAGAATCGGGCATGCTAAGTAATTCCAGTGGTAGGGCTGCATGACAAATAGCAAGTTTATTTGCTGCTATTGCATTAGCTCGTCTAATCAAGAGGAATGCTGAATGATGATAACTATACCCGTAGATCAACTATGCCGCCCGTATACAATAAAACTACTGACGTATGGCTACACATGTCTACCTCCCTAGTCGAACCAATCCAATCTATAAAAAGACTTGGTTTACAAGGCGCCAAAGAAGTCAAGAAATGAACCGTAACACGCAGGGAACTCGGAACAATTTCCAGCTCGATGAGCGCCACTAAACAACGATACCTGAATTTATCGGCGACAAACAATGATCGCAATTCGATTAACATCTTTGACGTTTGAAAATGACCCGACTGGGAGGAGAAATGGTTCTGTTCGGCCAACAATAAAGTAAAACAAAGAACATCTAGTAAATGCGCAAGATAATTGTATGAGGTACTCTGGTGATTGATAACAACAAAGAAGCTGTGTGAGTTGTGACACTGATACAGCGTCCCATTTTTCGGAATCTCAGGTGGAAAATCACATCAAATGGGACAAATATTTTTATCCCCCCCAAAAAGAAAAAAAGTGGTATTACTTCACCTTAAAAAAAAAACGTTTCATGCATTTGAACTTGGCAAGGTTACATATGATTGGACGGTTGATGACCCATGGGTTCACATCCTTTTCTTTCAGATCCTGACAGGAAATCCTGCTTTATCAAATGGCGTTAAAAATGGTATTGCACCCTTTGGCGAAAATACTATAGAAGGTATGCGTCGTATCTTTTTTTTGTCATCCTATGATTTTTTTTTCACGGGGACAATCGACCAAAATCCAATTTTAGTACACTGCTGTGATAGTTTGCAGTGGCTATTGTCTTACCTCCTCTCACACTGTTGGTAGAGTAGCGGGTCCAGCTAGGTATCATGCTCAATGCTTATGTGAGCACCTACGTCGCTCGCTGTTGTAGTGGGATGGGTCGAACAGGGTTAGTACGTCGCTGTGTGATCCTGTCCTCCCCGCTTGCTGTCGTAGTGAGACGGCTCCAACTAGGTAGTCTGTGCAATCCTTACCTCCCCGCTCGCCGTCGTAATCGGACGGGTCCGTTCTTATCTCCCCGCTCGCTGTCGTAGTAGGACGGGTCCGTCCTTACCTCCCCGCTAGCTGTTGTAGTGGGACGGGTCCGTCCTTACCTCCTCGCTCGCTGTCGTAGTGGGATGGGTCCGTCCTTACCTCCCCGCTAGCTGTCGTAGTGTGACGGGTCCAATGGGGCAGTCTGTCTGTGATTCCTAGTTAGCTAGGTAGTGGTGTGCGATCCTTACCTCCCCGCTAGCTGTCGCAGCGGGACGGGTCCAGCTGGGCAGTCTGCCTATGATTCCTAGTTAGCTAGGTAGTTAGTGTGCGATCCTTACCTCCCCGCTCGCTGCCGTAGTGGGACGGGTCCAGCTGGGAACTGGGCAGTCTGTCTGTGATTCCTAGTTAGCTAGGTAGTTAGTGTGCGATCCTTACCTCCCCGCTCGCTGTCGTAGTGAGACGGGTCCAGCTGGGCGTCCTCGGTCGGCAGCTGCACGGAGGCGATCAACAGGTGGTTCTGCTCGTCCGACGTGTGCGTGCCCAGGATCAGCCGGTGGATCGTGTAGTCCTTCCCGTCGGGCCT